TATGTCATGTGTAGTGGATAATGTCACAGGGGTTGGTTTCTATCTCATGGCCACAGGAAATTTGGGGAGGCTTTAAATCAGGAAAGAGACAAGCTCAGTTTTCTGTTCAGGAGAGCAAACAATTCTGGCAACAGGGTGAAGGAAGCAAAGCGCTGAAGGCCAGCATCCAGGGGGAAAGTCACCCAGCTCAGGCCCCAAGCCAGGATGTGAGCACCAACAGCAGGCAGGAGAGCCACTGGGGCAACCCAAGAGTGGCCCCAGAACCCAACTGCCCAGCCACGGCCACCTACTAACACACCTTTTCTTCTGGCAGGCCTCTCCTCGGTACAAAGGAAGATAAAGGTAAAACAGGATTTCCTTTAAATGGATTTATAATTACTTGCAAAGAAAGCAAATTAAAATCTTAATTTCACAATATGCCATGACTTCACTTTTTAACTGCTGGCAATGCTTTTTAAACACCCTTTCAGCTCACATTGTAGCTATTAAGATAATCAGTTCTACCCACAATGGAGAGAGTCAGCAGTCCTGGGTCGAGATTTCAGAACAGCTCGATTCCACACACATTTGCAGAGTATCTACTAAGGGCCAGGCACAGGATTAGGAGCTAGGGTTACAATGTTCTTTGTACTTGGAAAAATAAATTCTTTTAAAAAGAATTTCTGTATGCCAGCATCTGAACATGTATTCGTATTAAAACAAATAAATCAATCACTCCGTAGGCTATCTGTCTAATGTTGGGCTTGCTTGATTTTGTAAAAACCCGTAGCACTGTGCAAGAAAAGACTTGATGCATTTGACAGCAGGTGTTCAGGAAGAATGTGCCCTGCTAAATGGCAGCACTTGACAGCACAAAGGAGTGAGAGCGGAACAAAGACAACTTGGTGTACACACACACACACAGCTTGAGCTCTCTTTACAACATTAGATATTCCCACCCACTTCTATTTAAAGGGCCTGTTTACAAAGCAAAACAGTGTTTATCTACAGCTAAACCTAATTCTTGCTCTTATAAACAGTGAATCTGCTATTTGAAAAGCTACGGAAGAAAACTGAAAACAATCAAAATTAATCTTTCAAGTATCTTTTTAAGAAGGGGTTTCTATAGGGCAAAAGAGAAGGGGAGAATTTCCTTACATATTTGCATATTTTATGATTTTAAAAAATAAATCTACAGGTTCTGAATAGGGATAGTGGGGAAGTGGTGGGGGTAGTATCAGTCCTCTCCTTACTTCTCCACCATCTCCCATTAGGGAATCCCTCCATGCCCTTTACTTCTATCCATACTAAACTCCTTGCAGTTCCCTGAAAACAGTATGTCCCTCATGCCTCTGCATCTTTACACAGGCTGGTCTGCCTGGACAGTCCTGCCTACCCCTAAGCTACATACTCCAGGCAAATTTTGGTTATTTCTTCAAATCACTTCTGCATACAAAAGAAATAGCTGTTTTCTGTATTTCTTCTGTTCACGTATGTGTGGCACATGTTACAAAATAATACAGGTTTATGTGTTCTAATGCTCACAATGGGCTGCAGGTATCCAAGGGACCTACATCTGTCCCAATTTCAAAATGTGCATCAAAACACAAGGCAATCCACCTGCAGACAATTAACACCTAGAGCAGGGAACCTACCAAGAGAAAATGAGTGAAATACCAACTACTTCCAAAAACAAGTCACTCAGAATATGAATTTCTGGGTAGCTAAGGTTTTTAACTTATTACCTACAAACCACTTGAAAAAACTTAAAATAAAAATCTTGTAACATACACTACACAGAATGGATATGGTCAACTCAAAATTCTGTTCTCCCTTCCATCACAACTACACATCATTCTGTGCTAGATGTTAAGGTGCAGGACAAACTGACACAAGCAATGTGATAGAAGCCACAGGCTGTTGGGTGCAGAGGGTGCTATGGTGCTGGCGCCAGGCCTGCCTGATGCACTTGGCAGTTCTGAGTGTCTCCAGACACTCGCTGCACAAGGGCATGTCACCCCCAGAACGACTGCTTTTCTTTTCCATTCCTGCCACCTTCCAACTTCTTTAAAGATTAAGATACCAAAGCACAGATAGCTATTCCTCATCAATCCCACCATCTGAGAGTACAGAGTTGCATTTATTTGCCTTAAAAAACAAAACAAAAAGAACCTCACGCTGTCCCACTCACTTCTGAGCTCTGTTGCTGTGGGTCTTGCCTGTGACTGGGCGTTCAGTGCCTTTCCTCCTCCTGTCTCTGCTGCCTTGTCCTGACTAACACACATTATGACATGGTTTTTTCTTTTTAACTACTTCATAATTCAAAGTTCTGGTCCTGTTATTTTCTAATTGAATTTTAATATAGCAGTTTTCAACACTCATGTCCAACAGCCAGAAGCAAATGAAGTTTGCAACACACTCTACCTAGTGGCTCAGTGAGGCACAGGGGAAATGAGTTCCTAGGCAGGGCTAGCAAACGACAGCCCCAGGCCAAAGGGACCCTTTGAATTTCTGGGTAGCTAAGGCACCTGATTTTTAAGCTGTACCAGCACACAGCCAGGCTCAGTCACTCCACTATTACCCAGCTTGCTCTTGCCCTCTGGTGTGAGTGAGGAGCTGCAGTGGAAAACAGATGTGGCCTACAGAGGGTAAAGTACTCACCACCCTGCCCTTTCCAGAAAGTTTCCAAGCCCTGTAGAGTGGTGGTCCTTTACTCCACTGAGCACTGCCATTACCTGGTGAATTTAAAAAACACTAGACTGCCTCAGTCTCCTCCCTCTAGAATGTTTCTTTGAACAGTACAGGTTCAGGCAAACTGCCTTCTTCAGGTGTTGGTAAGCTGCAGTCAAAGTGAAGCCATTTCTCAGGATTTCTCATACCTCGATGTGCAACCGGAACCACCTGGCTTATCTCTTCCTCTAAGATATCATGCATTAGCCCTCCCTTGGATTTATGAGGTCTGCAGGGGGAGACACTGCATGTTTAATGAGTTTGCCAGCTATAGTTCAGCCTTTGAGAGGTATGGCTTATAGAAGTCGGTGTGAAAAGGCCTCACAGGAAAACTTGAATTCCCTGTCTTGCACCTCAGCAATGAATCAAAACACTAAAATTACTCTTAGGCCTCAGTCTTCTCATCTGTAAAATGAGATTCTTTCTTTTTCTTGCTTACTTTATAAGTTTGCTATGAAAAGTGCTTCATTGTCAACTCTCTGTGGTCAAACTGAAGATGATAATTCTTTTGAAGATTAGGGTTAGATTATAATTTATACAGCCTCCTAAAAATTCAGAGAACATATAATAAGTAGATATCACATAATAATTGGATAATGCATATACCATAATTTTAACATGATTGCAAAAAAAAAAAAATCAAGTCAGTATAACTAAGAACTGTGACAATGATTTTCTCAAGTCGAACCTAGAAAACCTAGAAGGGTTTGTAGAAAGCTAATCTTTAAGAAAATGCTGCTCTTTTCAGCGCCTGTGTATTGCAGGGATTACATAGCAGTCCATGTGCTGGAGCACATACACAGCTACAGCCCTTTCACTGTCCAGGGGACCTCAGTTACTTGAAGATTCTTGGGTAGGCTTAGGGAAAGTGAATATCAATGAACCCCTGAAATCACAGGCCAAATTCTGTATGTAAAATTCTGTATTAACATTCTCTTTACAGGAGTCTCTTTGATTCCACAAAAGAATAGAATATATTTCCAAAAGCGGTGGAGGCCCCTGTGTTTAAGCATGTATATCCTAAGGCGCACACTATACCAACCTATATGGAAACTTTGAGGAAAAAAGCCCATTGAGAGTTATTTTCTAATGTGTCAAACATTATTTGACAGCTTTAAAATGAATTCATTTAAGATGTCTACTGATTTTTTTTTTTAAATTTCTAGTGTTTTGTAAGCATAGTAGGTAAAAAAATTAATAATACTTTTCTCATTTTGTAGAGACAACAATATTTATAACCCCAAATTTAAAGCCTGTTAGAAGAGCCCTATTGTGCTGCCGTTAGGTGGGAGCAGCCAGGTTCCTAGCTACCCTGTAGGAATGCACTCTGTAGCCTAGGCGCTGAAAAGAGCAGCACTTTCTTACATGGCCAAGTCCAAAGAGGAGCACGGACAAGAACCAATTCACCCAGCCTCTCCAGGCACCTCATTGCAGTCACATCTAAGCGGCTGGCCTGTCCAGAGAAACCTGGACTCCTTGCTGTGGTTACGAGGCAATGGAGAAGCTGCTCTGGGACAATGATGCCAATCTGCATGTGAATTCACCATGGACTGACAGGGTTTTAGGTTTCTGACACAATATAATTCATTTAACCCACCACAGCCCTAAGCAGGCTGCTGCTGTCAGTCCTACTTCACAAGTATCAAAATCAAGGTAGAGAGAGGTTGAGTAACTTGCCCAAAGTCACACAGCTGATAAATGGAGGAGCCAGGATTGGAATCCTGGCTGTCTGGCTCTATGGTCCATATTTAACCAGTGCACCAAAGTACATGTCACGCTGCAAACAGAAGCTAGGGTCCCTATTTTGTAAGTCATGAAGGTAAGAGTTTGTATCTAAATTCAAAGTAGGTGCATACGTGTAATTCTAGCAACTTGGGAGGCTGAGGCAGGAGGATCACAAGCAACTTAGCAAGACTGTTTCATAATAAAAAATAATAAGGGCAGGGGATGTGGCTCATGTTTAAGCACCCCTGGGTTCAATCCCTGGTACCAAAACAGCAACAAAGTAACAAGCAAAACAAAGTAAAAGTGTTTTTTCTTCATTTGACATCAAGATCATTACAGAATCACAAGGCATTAGTATCATAAAGAAGTCTTCCATTTCCGAACTCCTACAGTGACTGTGAGGAATGTGACCCAGAGGGGTAAAATGAACATGAAATCATTCCTGACTGAGTGGCACAGCGTAGAATAAGTATTCTAAAATTTAACATCATAATGTGACTGAGCTACCACACACACTGAGTTTCATGTGATAATTATGCATTCCTTACAATAACACCAGAAGGAGACACACCAGTTTACAGAAAAGAAACTGAAGAATCAAGAGGCTAAGTCACTGCGAAAGGTCAGGTGGACATTAAACACTAAAGCAGGAATTTGAACTAAACTCTGACTCTACATTCTCAGGTCTGGATAACTAAACTATATATTCCATGATTCCATACTGCTACCTCAAGACCAAGTTCTAGGTAAGTTAAAATATTACTAAGGTTTTTATAAAAATCGAGGGGGAGAGGGTTGCTATAAACCAAGAAAAATAAGCCATTTTTAGTGTTACATTAATGTTTTCCTCTTGCTTTTCTTTTTCTTAATAATTGCTAAAGACCAGGAAAGTAAGTTATATGTACTTTCCTCATTTTAAGGTGGGAACTGAATAAAATAACATTTTAAGAAAAGACAACAATTATACATAAAGGAACACAGAATCTGATTCTCCTGGCAATCAATCCCCTAGCGCAAACCTATAGGCTGTTTCTGACAGATGCAAGGATTTTGCTTGAATTGTTGGACAGATGTGCCAGGGGTGAGGGGGTTATGAAAAGAGATTCTATATTTAAAGCCTTTGAAAGTATTTTTAACATACATTTATACATACTGATATGTGCATGTATGCATAAACATGGAAAATGGATTTCTGCAGCATACACACAAACACAGCCCATGGATGAACATGCAGAACTTGTTTAGTTGCTCAAAATGTTGCAAGAAATAAGACTTTCGTTTCCAGCAGCAGGGAGCTATGTATCACTGAACAGAGAGGCTTCCTGTTTTTAAGCATTGGCAAGGCATGATTTCCAAACTAAATACTTAGCTTGGCATGTTCATGCTGTGTTGATAGATGCTTTTATAACCACTTTTCTTCCACCTTAAATTTCAATACGAAAAGAGAGATGATTTGTTCTCTCTCTTCTGTTATAGGTTAGGAAAAATGGGAGAGTGGGAAGGAGGAAAAATGTCATCATCAGATCAGAGAGATGCCAGAGGATAGTGTGGTTCTGACAGAAACAGCTGTATGATTTCAGACTTTCTCTGGGGGTAGGGATGGGAGTGACTGTGAAGGAAGGAAGGAAGGAAAAAGGAAAGGAAGAAAGACAATGGAGCACCTGCCCCGAATTAACACAGCTGGAAAGAAGGGCCTGCAGGTCATGAGCACGTCTGCCACGTGATCTAACGAAGCACTTTTAACACCGTGCCCAGGGCCACAGGATCCACACGGCTTCAGCACTAACATCGACAGGACTGTGCAGGTAAACCTTCTCACCACAGGCAGTCATGCTGTAGTGATGGGACTCTGATTCTAATTACTCAGAGCTGCTGTCGGGTCAGTGCAGTGCCGTCTGCAGGATTTCCTTCAGGAACACTGAAATGCTTGCCTGCTTTTCACAATGTCAGTGTGATGCTAATAACTGACATTTAGATTTGACAGCATTTTTTTTTTTCCTCTTCCCTTCTTTGCAGTACTGGGGACGGAACCTGGGGTGCTCTACCATGGAGCTACACTCCCAGCCCTTTCTGAAAAGTTGCCCAGGCCTGGCCTCCAACTTGCAATCCTCCTGCCTCAGCCTCCTGAGAAGCTGGGGTTACAGGGGTGAGCCACTGGGCCCAACTTTGATGGTATGTTCTCATGTATTTGATCTAAATTTCACATCAGACCAGCAATTCTTTCAGGGCTTCGATCCTGCCTCATGTGAGCAGAACTTGACTCTGCCATTGTCCATTCCCGTTCTATCTTCAAGTTCTCCATTTGTTCTTTTCCATCAGGTACCTTCTGCCCACTAAAAACCTCTTTCTTTTTGGCTCTCAGCTAAAGAACTGCTTAAGCTCTGGCGGTCTCTGGTATCTTTCCTTGGCAGTCTCTAATCTGTCTGTCACTTCACCAAAATGACGAACCCAAGGATGTCAAAATGCTAAAAGCACTGTTTTCTGTCTGTGTCTTGCCCAAGCCTTCAGCAGGACTTGATGAGCTGACTTCTGTTCCTTTGTTCTCGAGGCTTCTGGCACTCCAGTCACACTTCCTGTCCTCCAGGTGCTCCTGGCAGGTTCCCTTGCTCGCTGCCTCCTCCGCCTCCACCTAAATGCAAGTCTGACGTGTATCAGAGCTTATACTTCACTCTCTTTTTTTCTTCTTCACTTTTCCACCCATTTCTTTGACTTTATGTAGCATCTACAATTAAATGATCCCCAAATCTAGATATGAGGTCCAAGGCCATGTGTCAACTGCCCACTGGACACTGCACAGAGGTGGATTGAAAGGAGAAGCCTGGCTCACAGTGTGGAGCCTGGTCCTGGCTTCGGGCATGCTGCAGCCCGTGGCAGAGTGAAGCTGCATGTCCACCTTGCGGTGGCCAGGGAGAAGGAAAGGAGGCTAAGTGGCAGGGTCTCACACAAGGGCATGCCCCCAGTGACCAAAACACCTTCCACCGGGTTCCGCCTCTCAAAGTTCCCAACACTCCACAATAGGGCTATCCTGGGGGTTGGAGCCCTTGGGACCCTGGGGGAGATGCAGGACCCAACCCCAGCACTATCCTGCACAATCTCAGAGCAGTTGGTACTTACCACAGAACTGTGAATACCTATCATTATTTTCTTAAATGTGTAAATTTATTTAATATAAATATACCAGAAATGTGCGTATTCTTTTAATGAAATATTAAAACAACCTGGAGGGGCACCTACAATTATGACATTTCTCTTTTTTGCTAGCTCCAGATAAGCACGTGAGGATGGGGAGAACATTCTTGTGCATCCTTTCTGATTCTGGCTGGGATTCACACTGGAATAGCTTACCTGCTTACTAAACAAACACCCCCCAACAACAAGGTATCTCTTACAAAGTCACCTACTGAGTCAAAGCTGTAGTCTCCTCCACGTACGATTCTAGTCAAGGAAACCGTGGCCGGAGCACACTGCCAGCACCTTCTTCCTTTCTGTTTTTCTCTTTCCTTTTTTTGACAGCAAATGGAAAATTAAAGATTCGAAACCAGCTAAGTTTGTAACATTCATAAGTCACGACCTTTGGCTTCTCTGAACCTCATTTTCTTAACCTCTAAAATATGATAATGTGAACCTCCTGAGTTGTTAGAAGGATTAAGTAAGTTAATGAATTCTAAAAGAATCAGCATAATTTCTGGCACATAATATGCATTAAATACATGGAAGAGGTCATTATTCAGAACCCGGCTTTGGGCACTCTTTCACTCAGCACTTGAAATAAGACAATGTATTCTGCTTTGTGTGGTTTCTGTGAATAATCAGAATCATTCTGAATAAGTAGAATGATTGCTTTGCTAAATCTGTACCTTGTTTCATTTTTTCCAGCTGCTTTAATTATTTTCTCTTTATGTTTAATAAGTGGTGCTGGGAAAACTGTATATTCCAATGCAAAAGAATGAAATTAGACCCACCTTACACCATACACAAAAGTCAATTCAAAGATTTAAATGTAAGACATAGAACTGTACAATTCCTTTCAGAAAATCCAGAAGAAAGGCTTTATGACACTGGTCTTGGTAATAGTTTCATGGATAAGAAACCAAAAGCACGTGCAACAAAAGCAGAAGTAAGTGAGTGGGAACATATGAACTAGGAATTCTCTGTGCAGCAAAGAAAACCATCCAGAGAGTGAAAAGGCAGCACCTGGAATGAAGAAAACACTAGGCAAATCATTTTTCTGATAAGAGATAAATCTCCAAAATAGATAAGGGACCCATAGAACTCGGTAACCAAAAATATATAATAAGCCCTCAAACTAGGCGAAGGACTTGAATACACGTTTCTTCAAAGACGACATACAAACAGCTACCAGGTATGTGAAAAAATGTTCAATGTCACTATTCAGAAGGGAAATGTAAATCAAAACCATGGTGAGATACCACCTCACACCTATTAGGATGGCTGTCAGCAAAAAAACAAAAGACTGGTGTTGGTGAGGATGTAGAGAAATTGAATCCTTACATGCTGGTGGTGATCCAAAATGGCACAGAAGCAAGGAAAGCAACACCAAGGCACCTCAAAGAATGAAAAGTACAATTATCATATCACCTAAGAATCTCCCTTTTGGGCATTTATCCAAAAGATTTAAAATCAGGACCTCACAAATACCAGCATCCCCCTGTTTGATGTAGCATTATTCATGGCAGCTAAGATGTGAAAGCAGCCTAAATGTCCACTGAAAGGTGAGCGATAAAAGCAGCATGTGGTGCAGGTGCTGGGGATGCGGCTCAGCAGCACAGCACACACACAGCACACACACAGCACACACAAGCACGCAGCGCGGGTTCAGTCCCCAGAACCACCCGACACAGGAGATACTTGCAATGCAATTTAGTCTTAGATGGAAATTCTGCCCTAAGTGACAACATGAACAAGCCCCGAGAACATTATGCTACATGAAATAAGCCAGTCACACAAATACTGAATGACCCTCACTTATTGGAGATATGTCCAATAGTCAAATTCATAGAATCAAAAAGTGAATGGTGGTTACCAGGAGCTGTGGGGAGGGAGATATGGATAGCTACTAATAAAAAGTTCACTTGTGCAAGATCAGTCAGTCATAGACTTGCTGTACCCAAAGTCAACAATACAGTATATTACACTTAAAAGCTTGTTAAGAGGTTAGAACCCGTGTGTTCTTCTTACAATGACATAAATTTTAAAAAAGATTTTTCCCTTTATTATTGGTTTTGAACCCTTCGTCATGATGCACTTTGTGCAATTCTCTTTATGTATATCCAGCTTAGATTTTGCTGAGATGCACATTTTTCATATTTGCAGACCCTGTGACCATTATTTTATCAAAAATTATCTGGTCCAGTCTTTCTCATTTCTTTTTAAGTATTCCAATCACATGATGTCATCACAGGTCACTGAGCTCTGCTTCCTTTTTGGACAGTTATATTGCTACTCAATGTTTAACCTGATAAATCCAACTAGTAATTTTTACTTCAGATATTATATATTCCAGTTTTAGAATTTCCATTTGATTTATTTCACAGCTTTCATCTATCCCATTAATGATGTTCTCCTTTAAGTCCTAACACATTCATAATAGCTGTTTTAACGTCTAATTAAACATTTCTATTAATTATGTTTTTTTCTATTGACTTTTTTTTATCCTAATTTGTGGTCACATTTCCCTATTTCTTCACATCTAATATTTTAATTGTTTTTAGAATGAGTCACCATGAACACTACATTGTTCAGTGTTTGTATTTTGTCATCTTCTTCTAAAGAATGCTGAGTTAGCTGGGCATGGTGGAGCATGCCTATCATTCTAGAGTTCAGGAGGCTGAGGCAGGAGGTTGGAAAGTTCAAAGCCAGCCTCAGCAACTTAGCAAGGCCCTGTCTCTAACTAAAATATAAAATAAAAAAGGCTGGTGATGTGGTTCAGTGGCTAGGCGCCCCTGTGTTCAAGCCCTGGTGAAGAGGAAGGAAGGAGGAAGGAGGAGGAGGGAGGAAGGAAGAGGAGGGAGGGAGGAGGAGGAGGAGGGAGGGAGGAGGAAGGAAGGAAGGAGGAGGAGGGGGGAGGAAGGAGGAGGGAGGGAGGAGGGAGAGAAGAGGAGAAGGGAGGAGGGAGGAGAGAGGGAGGAGGAGGGAGGGAGGAGGAGGGAGGAGGAGGGAGGGAGGGAGGAGGGAGGGAGGAAGGAGGGAGGGAGGAGGAGGGAGGAGGGAGGGAGGGAGGAGGAGGGAAGAGGGAGGGAGGAGGAGGAGGGAGGGAGGAAGAGGGAGGGAGGAGGAGGGAGGGAGGAGGGGGGAGGAGGGAGGGAGGAGGAGGAGGGAGGGAGGAGGAGGGAGGGAGGAGGAGGAGGGAGGGAGGAGGAGGGAGGGAGGAGGAGGAGGGAGGAGGAGGGAGGGAGGGAGGAGGAGGGAGGGAGGAGGGAGGAGGGAGGGAGGAGGAGGGAGGAGGGAGGGAGGGAGGGGGAGGGAGGAGGGAGGGAGGGAGGAGGAGGGAAGAGGGAGGGAGGAGGAGGAGGGAGGGAGGAAGAGGGAGGGAGGAGGAGGGAGGGAGGAGGAGGGAGGAGGGAGGGAGGAGGAGGGAGGAGGGAGGGAGGAGGAGGGAGGAGGGAGGGAGGAGGGAGGAGGGAGGGAGGAGGAGGAGGGAGGGAGGAGGAGGAGGTGGGAGAGAGGAGGAGGAGGGAAGGAGGAGGAGGGAGGAGGGAGGAGGGAGGGAGGAGGAGGAGGGAGGGAGGAGGGAGGGAGGGAGGAGGGAGGGAGGAGGGAGGGAGGAGGAGGAGGGAGAGAGGAGGAGGGAGGGAGGAGGAGGAGGGAGAGAGGAGGAGGGAGGAGGGAGGGAGGAGGAGGAGGGAGAGAGGAGGAGGGAGGAGGGAGGGAGGAGGGAGGGAGGAGGAGGAAGAGGGAAGGAGGAGGAGGGAGGGAGGAGGAGGAAGAGGGAAGGAGGAGGAGGGAGGGAGGAGGGAGGGAGGAGGGAGGAGGAGGGAGAGAAGAGGAGGAGGGAGGAGGGAGGAGGTAGGAGGGAGGGAGGAGGAGGGAGGGAGGAGGAGAAGGGAGGGAGGAGGAAGGGAGGGAGGGAGGAGGAGGGAGGGAGGAGGAGAAGAAGAAGAAGAATGCAGAGTTTAGCTGTGGGTCCACGTGATTCCCCTCAAAGCTCACTTTTGTGATTTTGGACAGATCTACACTGGCCTTTACTTTTGGTACAATTAGCCCTATTCCTAAGGTATGGCCCTACCAAAATCACCTAAAATGCCCATCAATGATATTTCGGTATTCTGGGTTGCTGGGCCCTGAAGCACTCCTTGGCTCTGTGTGAAGTTATTCAATGTACAGTCTCTTGGTAGTTCTTCTTTTCACATAAAAAGCAAAAAGTCTTAACTTCTGTGTGGAGTCTAAGCCTGTGTGTGAACCACCTAGCACTTGACAGACTTAAGAGGACTCTACTATGAACTTTGTTCAGCATTTATTCAACATTTTCCTAATATCCATTATGTGCCAGATAAACTATTATATGTCCTTGAATTTTAGTAGGGAGACAGAAAATAAGTTTTGGTATGTTAAATGATTAAGCTCCCAGTAGAAAAAATAAAAATTGGGCATGGGGTAAGGAGAGTCCAAATTTAAATAGAGTTGGATAGGGCTTTGAGAGAAAACCTGAGTAAGAGCTGCAGGAGCCACCGTATTGGGATCAGGGAAGCAATCTGAACAGAGGAATGAAGGCACCACAGCACAAAGAACCTGTGGTGGGAATGGGCCTGAGGTGTCTGAAGAGCAACAGGAAGTGAGTGAAGAGCAGGGTGCTAAGAGAGGGTCCAAGTGCTGATGGAGGAAGAGCTCTCTGCAGCACTGTGAGGCTTCACAGAGATCAACAGACGTATTCTGAATGAGGTGGCCAATCGCTGCAGTCCAGATCTGTGACAAGATCTAACATACTTCACTCTTGCGCACAGAGTGTGAGCAGTAAGGGTGCAAATGGGGAAGCCAGGAATGAGTTGAACGCAGTGTTTCAGGCAAGAGGTAATTATGGCTTGGACAGGGTGGTATAATAGAGGAGTGATGACTGTACAGTTTGAGACAAAGAGGAACAACTTGAAGGTTTGGGCCTGAGCAACCAGAAAAGGAGAGAACTATCTTTACTAATGTGGAATACTGCAGGAGAAGTGTCTGAGGCTGAGGGAGCAGGAAGGGGAGACTGGGAGCTCCTCTGGTCACACTACGTTTGAGATATCAATAAGATGTGAAAAAGGAGATGTCAAGAAGCCAGTGGTTATTATGAGTCTGAAGTTTGGGAGAGAGGTCCATCCTGGGCGGACAGATGGACAGATACACACAAAATATTGAATGAGATCAAGGTAATGAGTATCGACAGAAAAGAGGCTAAAGACTAGTCTTAGGTAGTCAATGCTAAAAGGTCACGCAGAGATAATGAGAAACCAGCAAAGGAAACAGAGAAGAGAACACTGAAATGTGTCCTGGAGCCAAATTAAAACGGTTTCAAGGTTGATGACCTGTGTTCTACTACTGCTAAGTTGAATGCCATTAAGAACTTAGAGCTGATCATTAGAATTAGCAACTTGGGGGTCACAGAGCAATAACAGAGGGGTACTAAAATTCAGAAGGTGGGAGAACTCTAGCCTTTTTGTCAATGCTGATCTGAATGACTCTAAAGACAGGAAAATCGGTGATGCAGCCAAGAGTGGAGAGCCCTGGTAGGGCAATGCAGTTATCTAAGAATGG